ATTATTTAAACCCTCTATTACAGTTGATTATTCAGAGCATGTTGATAGTCTGTTCTTCAAAAATGACTGATGATATCAAGCTTTAGTACTTCCTCTAAGTCTATGGTTCCCAACTCTTCAGAACAGAAGGAATAAATGAAGTGAGAAGAGCACAGGAACGAGTCTAATAGACAAACTGACTAATCTCAGACCCCCAAGGTCAAAGCAAAGCAATTCATTTGTTAGCTTTCATCAACACAAGACATGATTTATCAATGTAAGAATAGGATTACAAACATTATACATCTCAATGATAGGTTCTTTGCACTGTGAAACTTTCTGAAAAATGACAGATTGTATATTCCCCCAAAAAGGAACATCATAAGACAAAACTCATTATTTGCAAAGACACTTTGACTTTTTTTAACAACTATGTAAATATTTATTACTACCATGCATGCCATTTGAGAGATAATATTTTAAAATTTTAATATTCCTTGGTATTCTATGACCTTCATGAACTAAACTTCAGACACTCATTCCCTTAAAATACTATCCTAATTCCAATACATCTATTTGCAGAGCCAGTTTCCATACTATAGGAAATTATTAAAGGCAATATTCTTACGTGATATAGAAGTTCATTGGCAATGATTATGCTTGAAAGATTAATACCCCCATAAATCTAAAGCTACACTTAGAAAAGAAAACATTGCAAGAAAGGCCATGGGAAAATTTCTCAACATCGTAAATGTAATCACATAAGCAGAGAGTTTGTCCAAGTTTCTCGCTCACTTGTTATAACACCTAACAACATTCTATAAGACATGCCTAGAATGGCAGCTCAGAAATTCATTTCATGGAGTAATGTTATGTAATTTCAAAGATTTCTCAAAATGAAATTGCACAGAAAGGGTAGTCCACTTAGATTGTGAAAGTTTACTTTACAGTCTACTTTAAATCACATTACTATTTCACTGACCTAAACCTAAATTAATTATTGCTTTCTCCATTAGATCAATGGAAAACCAATCCAAACTTTAGGAAAATTTTATTGCCTACGTGGAGGAGGACAGTAAAAGGTTTGTATCTCAGGCTGATGATTCATTCCACCAGCTGCCAGGAAGTTGCATGCTGGACACACCTGGACAAAGGCCTCCGTGACTGGTTGGGAAACACATCTATCTTGGCACGTCACAAAGGAGATGGGATCATAATTACTCTCCTTGTAAGTATAGGTATTTTGGAACTGTGTCTGCCTACAAAATAATACAAATTACACATCTGGACTAGAGCCACGCAATTGTACCATCTGTTCTTCATGTCCAACCCTAAGAGTTTCCCAAAGTATTCAATGCTTTAAAAATAAAATTCAGACTTAAAAGGCCTAAACTCGTTGTTAACATGCCAGGGGGTATCATTTTAAAAGTTAAGACTAATAAAATTGCTCAAAACCCTGAGTTACTGTGTTTGATAAATATATAACACATTAACCTTTACTGTACATTAAGGAAATACTGTGGTTTTCTGATATTTTAATTTTGGGGAAATTATTGTGCTGGCTAAGTTTTACACAGTCTTGAACCTCTGATGCCAGGTGCAATGGTGCATGCCTGTCATCCCAGCTTCTTGGGAGATGGACAGCAGGAGAATCAAGGTTCAGTGCTAACTAGAACACAACCTAGCTGAGACCTCATCTCAATCGTTAAAAACTGGGGGTGATGCTACCTCTCTGTCATCCCAGCTACACAGAAAGCGTAAGTAGTAGGATCACAGTCCAGGGTAGACCCAGCATAAAAGCAAGACCCTCTCTCAAAAATAACCACAGTAGCCAGGTGCTGATGGCTCACACCTGTAATCCTCACTACTCAGGAAGCAGAGATCAGGAGGATCAAGGTTCAAAGCCCTCCTGGACAAATAGTTCACAAGACCTTACCTCGAAAAAAACCACCACAAAAATAAGGCTAGTGGAGTGATTCAAGGTATAGACCTTGAGTTCAAACCCCAGTACCTCAAATAAAAAAATAAATAAATAATAACCAAAGTAAAAAAGGCTGGGGATGTGGCTGAAGTGGTAGAGTTGCCTGCCCAGCCAGTGCAATGCCCCGAGTTCAAACCCTAGCAAGTATATATATACACACATGCATAGCATATAATACATATAATGTCTGAACAAAAATGTATCAAAACCTTTCTTCAACCTGTCTTAGTCTTACTCTTTACACTGACCTCAACATCTGGATGGCTGTGTTTTGTTTTGCTGTTTTGGAGACCACAGCTGTATAGCTGAGGCTGGTCTTGAGCTCACTATGTAGCCCAAGATGCCTCAAACTCACAATCTTCCTTCAAAAACCTCTGGAGATTCTTCTTCTCTCCTGAGAAGTTCCTTAGTTTAACACCTTAAAATAATTAAAAGTTTCCTAGATAGATTCAACAAAGCACACAAAATCATGAATTCCAGAAATTGAACATATTTCATCTAATATACCGTGCAAAAATAATCCAAGTCTGTTTCAATTGCTAGTTTTCAATTATTATGAAATTCATGTATCTTATGTGCTTTTTCTAATCTAAGATGTGGATTTGTGTTCTCTAAATATAAATCTTCAATGAAATCTGTAACAAGATCTTAAAATGAATATTCAACTTTGGTACGAAAATTTCGAGAGTCAGTTTCATTAAAATGTGCAGTAATTTTACAAACTTCTCTCAAAAACACCGAGGGAGGAAAATTGTTGGTATCTTGAAACCTAGAAACCATTATTATGTGAATAGCAGTTTACTTTGCTCTAAAGAAACAAAATACCCACTATAACAATAGTAATAGTAACAGCAACCAAACAATTATGCCTAGATTAAGAAGTGGCAGCCAGTAATCGAAATATTTTATGCATAATCTAAGTATTTTATACTAAATGTTTTATAGATAACCCAGATATTTTACACATTTATCTGTACACAATCCAGTGAGGTACAGGTGTCACTATTTCCATTTTTTTAAATAAAAAAATTATTTGCAACAGAAAAGAAACCCTCACTGAATCAAGGCGTCACTATCACTCTTCCTTGGTATTTGTACACTGAACCATGGGAATTGTGAGTGTGTGAAACTAAGAAATGAAATTAATTTAAGGAAGAGAGAAGGAGAAAAAGAGAAGTTTTGGCACACCACTATGGTAGAATACATAAGAAATTCGGGGTGGAGTAACACTGGCATAGTTTGGAAATATATTTAATGTCACAATACAATGTGTAGATGGCAAACTAAAATGATGTCAGAAGGAAGCGTACATTATTTCTGCACCACTGATGTACCATATAAAAATTATTATATCATAGGTCAAGTCCACAAAGCTATAATCTGCCATTTTTTCATAAGGAATATTCTCTTACATTATAACTTAGTTAACTGGCCTCTTTAAAATGTTTTTAGATTCAAAGTCACAGGCATGAACCACAATTACTTCTTTCACGTAATAGAATTCAATGAACATTTTATAGGAGATCTAGTAAAAGTTGTATTGTCTCTATGTCGCCACTGTACACTAGTTATTCTAAAAAAACTAAAATTCCAGGTTAGCCTGTTTCTGTCTCTAATCAATGGGGTTGCAGTTGTAAGGTAGGTTATCATCTCCAAGTAATGGTAACCATTAATGTAATGATTCCTGGTAAACATGTGTTCTCTGCCTCCAACTCCAGTTATGACAGTACTGGTGTAAATTGGTCATATTTCTTAATAAAATAGCTTTCTTCATGTTGAAATTACATGTTGATTTGCATAGCAGTTAAATCAGAGACTATGAAACGTCATTTTAACATCTATTGTGGGCTCATGCGTTCTAAACTCTGCCATCCCTAGTACTTGGCCAGATGTAATGAGCTTACTATCTCCCAGATATACCTGGGGCCAGCATTTCACAGCTCTTCTTCATGTGAATTGCCAACTCTAGGCAAATTCCCCATGTTCAGACTATTTCACATTGTCTCACTTTGTACTTGTTCTTTTTCCTAGAAAAAAAAACAAATCTCCCCCCCCCCAAAACTTCCTCTCTCTCTCTTCTCTTCTCTCCTCTTTTTCTCTCTTCCTTTCTCAAATTTACCTGGAGAACATTTTCTTAATCATTTGAGACTCTTTATAGGCAACACCTCCCTAGATAGAGTTAAGTGCTTCTCATTCTTTCTCTCCCAAACTGAGTAAGTAATCTGCTACAGTATCAATCACGCTGAGACGTTTATTTTTTACACATTTGACTCATAAAGCACATCATAAAATACCTGAAGATAAGACTCATTCATCATGTAAGATGCTCCAAACACAATGGTTGGAACATAGCTGATGTGCAATAAAAGTGAGGTGAATTAAATAGCTTTATGGTTTATATTTTATACTATACTTCTTAAATTTTCCTTCTTTCATTCATGGAGCTATAGGTTGTTTTTTCTGTACAAAGTCAAATGTTAATATAAAAATAGTTCATTTTTCTTAGTCCATTTTAGAAACAATAGATAATCTGTCATCAAGTTATCTAATTATGAAATTGTTACTTAGGAAAGGTAGAATAATCGCTCAGCTTCCAAATTTACAAATTCCTGTAACATTCTGAGGTAGTGAAGTCCTTTCATAGCTAATTTTCCCATTAACTGTGATATTTAATTGAATAATTGCAAAAACAGTAATATTAGAAATAACCACCTTTTTCATTTCAAGCTATACTTACAGGAAGCTGAGAGTCCATGCTAAGTTATATGTATATGTTTATGTGAGATAGGTTACCTAAAATACAACTGCATTCTTTTCTGCATTCAAGTTATAAGGCAATTTAGTATCAAATACAGAATATACACATTTTTACATATAATATAATAAAGTCGATAAATTTTATATGCCTAGGAGAATAATAATAATGACAATGGTAAAGTAAACCGTTGACACTGAAATCCCTCTTTGAGTTTACTTTTTCAACTAGATAATCTCAAATTATATTCCCCACAAAAATTTCAGAGTAAATATGGCTACTTACTTTTCAGGATTTTCTACTTCTTCAGTAACAAAATTGAGGTAAAACCTGAGAATATACAGATAAATTACCAATGATTAACATATTTTACCACTGCAATCCAAAATTTTGCATTATAACATTTAAACTTGAACTCGGAATTATGAAAACATCATTAAAATATTTGTAGCAAAAAGAAAACATCCAGCAACTAGAAATTTCCGCAAATCATTTTCTATGGAACAATAACTTGTGAAGTGCTTAAAATGTGTCAGACACTAGGGTTACGAGAAAAAAAATCCATATTCTCTCTGCACAAGGAGCTCACAGGTTACAGACCGACCCACACAGTATGGTGATAGAGCACTGGAGGCAGTGTTGGAGCCAGAGCAAGAGGACCACAGATAGAGCTAGCCCTTCCTGGAAGCTTTCCAGAGAAGGCATCTCCTGACCTGAGCCTTGCAGGACACTTGAGAGCACTGATGAGGTGGTGTGAGGTCATGCCAGAACACATACAGTACATAAACACAGAAGTGTGGCTAAGTGGTTATGCACACAGACAGGTGCAAAAGTTTAGTATTCTATAGGTCAAAGGTGGCAGAGGGTGTGAGAAGAAAACTAACCTACAAGGTGACCTTGCCCTCCTGTAATCCAAATTTTAGAGAGAGAGACAGTGGATCTAAACTTCTAGTGCTATGTAAGTATAGCAACAGTATCCCTCAGACAAAGGAGCTGTTATTGACTTCCTAACCAAAAACACAGTGCACAAGTTAACCAAAAAGAGTATAAATAAGTATGTCTTATACATTTAAAAATTACTACATTTCAAATGTTCTACCAAAAAAGTAGCATTTTTGGTGATGGATATGTTAGTGTGATTTAATTATTCTGCATTGCATTCATAACTCATAACATCACTTTGAACCCCAAAGTGTATATAGATATAATTTACTCCTAATTAAAAATAAGAATTAAAAGATAAATCCTCAATTCATACTTCTTTCTTTCAGGTCATTGTTTTCCAAATAATCCCAATTTACATAATTATGAAGTTATCACTTTTTGTTTTTGTATATTTAGGCAGTTAATTTTAGACACACTGTTAACCATTATATCATAAATTGTCAACTAAAAAGCAGGAATATCTGAATATTTCTCAAGTCCACCACATTGTCCCAGGCCTTTTAAGTGACAAGAAGTATTCTGGGCACACAGTATTTCACTTTCAAGTACCAGAGGATTGCAAATATGGCCCCAATGTCAGGGTAAGGTCAGGTCCTAGAGAGACTTCACCCTGAGACTCTACCCACCCCACCTCACACAAGAATGTCTGGAGCCCTGCATCCTCGACTTTGTTTCCCAACCAAAAGGGACTGCTGGAGATCTTTAAATGTCTCAAAGCCCCTTCTTAAGTCCCCACAAGGTGAGGCTATGGCAAACTCCATCCTTAAATAAGCATGGAGGGAAAACTGGATCATGAAAATGGCAGCCTAAGAGATCATTATGAAAAAGAGCTGAACTTGAAAAGAACCTGCTACCTCTTCATTTCATAGGCTTCGGAAATTTGCACAAAATAAGTCTTACTGTGAGCATTCTTTCATGTTACTTTTCCTTCAAAGGTAAAAACAACCTTTTATATATGAGTACAGGAGCACAGGTTCTGAAGGCACAAATTCTCCACAACCTAAAACCCAATGGACAGAGCACGAGACCTTGAGCTCAAACCCTAGTACCACTGAAGAATAAATTAATAAATAAATAAAACCAAGTGTCTGGCATATCAGCCCACTGGTCTGCAGTACACTTAAAGTATCTCACAGTCTAAGAGAAAGATGAGGAAACCTGTCTTCATAAGAACCCTCTTTAAATTCGTACGTAGGCAGTTGCTGTTCAAGATGGTCTGCAATTCCAAGGATTATGTTTTAGGTAGACATATTTGAAAATTTGAGGAAACAGTAGGAACAAGGGTGATAGAAGAAGTTTGTAACCAAAGATTTCTTTTAGTGACTAGAAAGATAAATTCTGGGTTTATTTTTTCTTTGTGTGTGTGTGTGTGTGTTACTGGTGTTAGCACTTAGAGCCTTTTACTTGCTAGGGACATGCTCTACCACTTGAGCCACACTTCTAGCCCTGGAGAGTTAAGATTCTAAAAGTAGAGGTTATTATTATAGGTAGGAAAACAAGCAACAGTCAGTTCTTCTATCTGAAATACGCTCTCTGAGACAAATTTGATGTATTTCTTACAAGCCTGAGGCAACAGGAAGTATGAGAAAAATGCAAACAATAAATAAATAAGCACCAGAAAAATCACAAGCATTAAGGAACATTTCTAAACTTCTTATATCAAAGATAACCAGTTCCCTCTTAACAGTTGATTTAGAAATTGGTCTTTGCCAACAGTATTAAAGCAAGAGGGGAAATATGAAAAAAAAGAGCACAACTTCAAATACTTTCATGGCTCTAGAGAATAGAGGAAAGGAAAGGGCTTGGGGCCGGGAGGGGACGAGGAAGGAGAAAGCTGCTCGTTTGGTATACACGTTCTCCTCACATCCTGTGGGAAGCACTCCTCTGCGCAGTCCTGCTCTCTGGGACTGAGTGCACAGTTCTCTCTTTGGCTTGCACCTTCTCAAGGCCCTGGCAAATGTTCACAAGACCCATTGTTCCAGCTCTTCTGTGCTTGTGCACAAACACTAGCAGCACATTCCAGCACCCAGCCATGTGCGTTATTTTCTAAAGAAACTCATTCTTTAGATTTGATGTGACACAATGGTACAAAATAACCCCAGCAGGTGCTTTAGAAAGGCTAAATCCATTGAGGATAAGATTTTAAAGGTAGAAGAAAAAAAAAAAAGACACTGAAAAACTATTTTCTATCATACAGTTTTAAAAAAAAAACTCCCATCAAGCAATATTTAGTTTTGGATCAGGATATAGGATTGAAATTGGCTGAGATCCCCAGGGCCACAGGGGGACTGGCAGGTGTAGTTCTCTGAATGCAGGCATTGACAATAATTTTAAAGTTGTTCTGACCCAACTCTGTGACCTGGCTGGGGTAATGATTTCTTTTCCCTTAATCATGATTCTGTGAAGGAGTTTTCATCATTCTGGAAAGGTTCTGTGCTCCTCAGAGCCAAAGGTTTACTCTGTTCAGGTTCCCCAATGTTGGGTAGCCTCTTGTGCTTCCGTGCTGCTTGTTTGCAATGCTTCCTTTTATGTATTTATTATCAAACACTGTCCCGGCAGCAGTACAGGGAATGGTGGCTCACCCAGAGTTCACATTTCCAGTTCTACAACCCTCGTAAGTATATCGTGAATGATGGAGCAGTCAGATAAGCCTGGGTCACATTTGCAAAGTGAATAAATGTCCTTCCCTTTGGAATTCTTTGAACCTTCTTCTTGTTCTATTTACATCCAGAAAACACCTTTTCCTCTGGAATGCCAAACTAACAGACTCTTTTTTCCTCAACCCAGCTTTCTTTTTCTAAAACTGATAGCCACAGATTAACAAGCAGATTACTTCCACCTCATCACAAAGCAGCATTCAGGTAGCATAACAACCCGTTATAGAATCACACTTACTTATCTGTCCCCGACACAAGCCACTCATATCAGATAACATCCCGTTTAAAGTCCTGGACTTAGTTCCCAATACAGTGATTGAACCCTCAAGAATATAAGGAAATCAATGACTTCCTGCTCTTTGCAATAGGGATTGTAAGGTAAGTATAAGTGAAGGTTCACGTAAACCCCTTTCACTCTGTAAAAAATAACATTTTGGGTTCAGCATCAATAAAATTCAGTATTAACAAGATAATTCGAAATTAAAAGAGTCTTTATACACAGAGAAATCCATCACCCCTCAAAAGCCTCAGAAGTGGGAAAAATTGGCTCTACATAAAGCAGGTGACCTGAATATTCAGTGCTGGGTAGTGGAGGAAGGAGGAAGGCAGAAATATTTGAAGATTCTGTGGGAACAGATGCATGGAACTCACAAGCAAGAGAAGCTTCATTCAACAGAATTAATAAAATCTTCTTTGCAAAGATCCCCACATTCCACTTTCCTGATGGAGTGCTCCAGGCTCCCAGCACTGGGCTATGGCAGAAAGCTTTTGCTACCTCCCCACTTTGCTCTATGGCTCCCAGTGACCCTCTCAGTAGCTTGGCTGCTGCCCCAGGGTGTCGAGCCCTGATCCAAGCTGAATAGCCAGGGAGAGTTTTTTTTACCTCTAACCTTGTGATCACACTGGGGCTTTTCTCTGCCTAGCACCACATTGTGCTTTGGACAAAAGTAAAAAGACTTCAAAAACATGGAATGATTCAAAACTAATGCTTACACACAATGGTTGTAAAAATATCCTGGGAATATACAAATATTTTACACTTATCTCCTTAGAGGTTCAGTCTACAAGCAGCCTTTGGACATATTTTTGCATCAAAGCCATGTGAAACTATAAATGGCTACACTCTCTTAATTCTCTCCCAATGTTATATTGTCGTAATTCAGTGAGAATAATAGGATACAAGCTCCATTTGTTTTGAAATATATCTTTACATTCTCTGCACTAGCTGGAAGGTAAGAGCCTAAAAACTAAAGGAATGAAAGGAAATTATATTTGTGTTAGAAAATGCATTTACATAATTTTTGAGCTAGTGAAGTTTCTTGATATTATTTTTAGGTACAGAACATTTTCACAGCTAAGCTGTGTAAGTTTTATAAATAAATAAAAAGCAACATTGCCATTGTTTATTCCAAAACAAGAGATGTTTATTATCTTTTTTTATTTGCAGTGTTAGGGTTTGAACTCAGGGCCTACACCTTGAGCCACTCCACCATCCCTTTTATGTGAAGGCTTTTTTTCTAGATAGGATCTTAGGAACTATTTGCCCAAGCTGGCTTTGAACCATGATCCTCCTGATTTCTGCCTCTTGAGCAGCTAGGATTATAGGAGTGACCCACCAAAGCCTGGTAAGATTGTTAATCTTACTACAGTGGTTTTGATATTGAAATAATAATTTTTTACCTACAGGGCTTTCCTGAAACAGTCATGTCAATTAAATCTTACAAGGTCAATAAAATTTAGTTAGGAGAACGTCAAGCCCCTGCACAAGGTAAGGTATAAGTATTATATTCTAAGACCTTAACCAGAACAGAAGGTATCACAGATAGACATGCATCAAAGGAAATGTATCCACGACATCATGATTTTAGTCATCTTTGTGCAAATTTTTGTTTTCAGATATGGGGGAAGTGTTAAGGAACTTGTGAGGTCCTTCAAATTGTTACACATTTTTTTGTTTGGAAAAGCTGATTTTATTATCCTGGTTTCTCCTTTTCTGTCTTTAGAGCACCACTTTAATCTCCTGGGAACATCTTATTTATTTCTACATCAGAATTATGTCTTTCTCATGAGAAAGTAGAAAAAATTCATTAATCATTATTTTAAGTAATCTTGGAGCTTCACCTGAAAGACCTTTTGACAAGCCAAGTGCTAATCTCTAGTACCTCATGGCACTATTCTGTCCTTACTGATACATAAGTATAACTGATTTACCTGGGCTCTTAAAACCCAGCATTTGTTTGTTTTTTTTGACACTGGGCTCAATCTAGTAGTGACCTTGACTGTGGTGGGGCTCAGAAAATAATCATCCAAAGTCTGGTGCCTCGTCACACTGAGTACTTTGAACTAAAGGAAACTGGGAGGGCATCAGAACTAAGATCTAGCTGACCTTGTCCCACCCTTCTTTCTCTTGCTCCTTTTTCTCCCTTCTCAAAGTAAGCCACAGAAACTAGAATTCCTCTTCCCCACAGTGAGTCACAGAACCTCTTTCCCCCAAAGCAAGCCATAAACCTTACAAATATTACTTAACCTTTCTCCTGCCTTTCTGTACAGAAGCTGATGAAATTCTCTGACTGACCTTGTCCAGCAACAGATGAAAAGACCCTTTTCCCAGAGGGGTGAGCCTATACCCAGGAGGAAGAAACACTACACCGAGAAGCCAAGCGGAATCTGAACAGACAGGCCACACTGGGTTTCCCCTCTTGATCTAGCACCATTGCATCAGACCCTTTTCCATAAAAACACAGTGTTCCCTGGGCTTTTATGTCTTTATTTCTGAAAGCTCCCGTGTCACATAAAACTTTGATTAAATAATTACTGTGCACAGGATTTAACGCAAACCTTACATTGTAGGGTTGGAAAGGTGTGATACTTTTCTCACCCACAGCTCACAGCTGACACTCCTGTAACAGAAGACAGGTTAACAAGAGAAAGCCGTAATCAATCTATTTGAAGTTTCTGGAAGTATCAACTTACCAGCCAGCATATGCATACATTCCATAGTAAAAAGCCAGCGGCAACCCCATAATACTCGCATCTCTTCCTGAAAAGGCATCTTTAAAGTGCTGTGTTTGTCCTACGATTGGAATGGGAATAGTTTAGAGCTTTGCACAGAATTGCTTATTATTGACTATAGCCATAAGCATGGGAGTAGGGAGGAGAACCATGTTGTCTGAGGTCTGGAGTTCTTACTCTCTGCTCATTGTCAACTTTATTAACACTGTTCCCATTCTGCAGGAGTCCCAAAGTACACTGATCACCATCTATACTACTTCACATTTTGCTTTTTATAAAGTGATAGCCAGAATGAAAATGACATTTAAATAAAACAGTCCCTTGTTTGAATATGCATCTATTTTGACCGTGAAAAAAGACTAAAGGATTTTCTATAAACTGTACTTTTAAGTGTATGAAAGAATTCTTGTAAATGAAGAAAATGTATGAATTGGTAAGAAGTGAAAACAAATATCCAAGTGTGTAACCTTTGATGAGGAGGTGGCAAAAAACTCTAGATTCACCGAATTATTTAATTATTAATTATTTCTGCTTTCTGTCTATTCCTTATAGGGCACTAGACACCTATCTGCTAGAACAGGGGCTGGAAAACTGCAGAGCAAGTCTGTCTCCCAAGTCACAAACCTCTTTTGTAAGTAGAGTTTCACTGGAGCACAGCCATGCCCACTTATTTCAGTGCTATGGATGTCACCCAAGATAGCAGCAGAGTTTGGTAACTGCAGCAGAGACCATACTGCCCACAAGGTTGAAAATATTCGCTAGTTAGTCCTTTGCTCAGAAAATCTATTGATCCTATGTTGTTGAATGGCATAGTTTTCTTCTAGAAACATGAAAAAGAAATTGTACTGACTTCCAAACTAAGTTTTAACAAATTTTGCATCAATAAGTGGGTTGATGCAACAAGTGGCTTGCTGGTCACATTTTTTTCTATTTTGTAAAGGGAAGTGGACTTTTTTCTTGAATATCTTTTGCATAGTATAAAAAGTTAGGAATTCAGATTTACTTCAGTCAGTCAATATTTAAAATCAAGCAGAAAAAGACCTTATTTTCCAAAGAAAACATCACAGTGAGATTACCCAAACAGGAAATGACTTTGTTTCAAAATCAGACATTAGATAAATAACGAAAAGGGGAAGAGGCAGGAGGGGGATAGATGGTGTGTGAGACCCTCTCTTCCAAGGCAAATCTCGGCTATCGCCTCATTGACAGATCCAGCATTTATGGTGATACAGTGCGAGCATGGGGACCCAAAATGGAGAATGTTGAGTTTTCGCTACAAAGTTTTCCTCCAAAGTAACCACTTTCCAAAATTGTAGTTCATTTTAAAAATGATTCGGTGATTCAGAAATGCCCATTTGACTAAAACATCTCTGTGTCTTTATAGAAAAAAATCATAAATACTGGGATTCAGATTTTAAAAATTAGTTGATTATTCTTTTATCAAACTCTGTAGTCTCCTTGGCCTACAGAGACAATATTCCTCAGAGTACAGCAATGAATAATCAATAAGAGGAAAAAAAAAAACTGTAAAGGCTGAGTCACAAGCACAGATCTTCAAAAGTGCCAATTTTAGAATATTACAAAAAAGGGTTGCTTTGTTTCTAACCTTGAGGAATACTTTGGCTGTATAACAGAGGTCTCAGGAAGATGAAAGTCAAAATATTCAAAAGAAAGTTCAACAAGTCCTCATAAGTGAATACACATGTTCAACTATTTTCAGAATGTGATTAGAGTAGAAATAAATGCACAGCATGTGTAAGTGAAACCTATCTCTTCCTGGAGTCTCAGATTAATATGAAAAATATATGATCATGTTAGAAATAAGGAAAGTCATGATCTTATACAATTTACAGTAATAGAGCAAATATACCCATTAAGGATTCCTTATGAAAAATTAAAATTTACTTTAAATGTGATAGAATTCTTGGAGAATTTCTCTGTTAGGTGAGAACTAAGAAAGCTAGCTGGTCATATTAATCATGATATCATAGTATTAAAGTATCACTCTATTATAACTGATAAGAAGGGCCCAAGAGCTATTTCATGACCTCTGCTCACAAGGAACTTGTGATACAGAAACATTTGGTCAACCAAACCCCACCTCAAACAAATATATAACTAGGTAGTTGAAATTCACTATGGTTTATAATGCTACCTATCCTACAATGTCTGACCTCACACCAAAAAGTAAAGAGAAAAAAAGAATCTTAGCTTGAAGGGATAGTAACCCAGAAATCTAAACTGAGACTGAAGAAGAGCTAATGACCCAAGATGTCTCACCTGAAGAAACTTCTTCCAGAAGACTAAAGAGCTCAAAAAAAGAAAGCACAAACAGAACAAATCATTTTGCCTATATTTGTGAGAAACTAGACTATGGGCAGGCCAGCTCTGAGGAGGCCAAGTTGAGTGAGAAAAGAAAGCTCACATCTTCTCTGCAGTGTAAGTTCCAGTGTTCAAAATCTTCATTGTGTTTATTCTGAGTTGGCTGAGGTTGCTGGATTTGATGAAAGCACTTGGCCAGCGGGGCTCTGAGATCCCTACTAGGCTTATTAAATGGACAACGGCAACTCCTTTCCCTGCAACAGGGCAGCCCATCTTTCAGTGTTTGTTATTGTTAATGCCTCAACCAACGGCCATGATTTTGCTGAACTTGGCATTTGCTTTTGCCTTGTTATAATTCTTCTCCAGTAACGTCATTAAATTTCTCTATAAATTCCTTTTCTTGGAACAGACAATATTAACGTAAACATTAAACACTTGACCTTCCCAAGTGGTATGTTACCTATTTACAATTTCTTCTGTCTTTCCTATTATTTCCTAGGTTAGTGCCTGCTGCAAGTTAAATAGTACCATTCTTTCTCTTCCACCCAACTCCCCTGCATCCAAGCAACTGCATCAGCCTGCTTTCCCCAAACAACTCAAACTCTAAGTGATTCCCTCCCCCAACATCTTTTCTTAACAATCCCAGAAACTGTTCCATTTTTTTAGAAATGCAAATTTTACCTAGAAAATGATGCAACAATAAAAACTAAGTTTATTGGTGTGACTATTTTTATTGTCACGTAAATATTTTTCGGAATTCAGTACCCATATCTGACTCCTCTTTTGTGGATATCATTCTCAAGATAAAAGAAATGCTAACCAGAAAAACATCTTCCAGTATTTTTCAGAAACCTTTTTCTCTTTAATGTTCATTATTATTATTGTAACATTTTGAAATTTTAGATGAAGTTAAAGTTTAATGGTAGTTTTTTTTCACTTTGGGTTTTCATTCTGAGCAATTTATAGCTAGAGAATTCACTGGTTCTTGCTTATCCAGCCCTTTAATCCTCTTGCTGCCATTCAACTGTAAATACCAATCCACCCCCAATGCAGCAGTCTTTCAAATCAATTAGATGACAGTATAGAGTTTAAGTTCCACAAACAGAGACTAATTAAGAATTTTGCTATACAAGCAAAAGTTAGTGTTGGAATAGACCAAAAGTAGATATGTATTTTAAAAGCATTTACTTTTCAGTCCATACCTTTAATTAGCTGTATAACTCCAGGGACTATGATTATCAGAATTGCAGTGAGCTTGCAGAAGGTCAGGAAAATCTGGATCCTAGCACTCCAGCTGACACTCACACTGTTTAGGACCATCACTACAGCTGCAAACAAGTACACAAAGTTACAAAGGGCACAAAGACATCTCAGGTCCTTGTTACTCAACTAGCCATCTAAAAACCAGGAAGTGTCGGAATTACCCATAACAGTTTTAGAAATGCAGAATCTCAGGCCAGGACTCAGACCCAGTGAATGCAAATCCATTCCGACAAGATCTCCAGGTGATTTCCATACCCATTAAAGTATGAGAAGCTTGGGTTAAACCTGTGGATGGTTAGCATTTCTCCCCTGTGCTTTGCATATGTCAATAAGAATGGACAGACATGATCATATTCTAGCAATCATATAAAAGTATCTTCTAATCAAATCCTGAACTCATAACCGCATAGACTCTGACTGCTAAATTTGACTCTTAGCTTGATATGGCAACCACTTCCTTCTTCAACGCTGGCATGCACCACTGATGCATTGATGATGCAGCATACATCTTTCTCAAGAAGTAAAGTTGGCTTGAATCTTATTCTTCACCTCAGGACTAGTGTTACCCAGCTCTTTATTTCTTAGGTTTATTCTCCACTTTCCATTAGCACATCACAGGGGGACTTTTAACCTACCCTACAAGTGCAGTGTTCCAACATAAGTTTTGAGACTTGAACAAAATGTTCTAAGAGTTTCCAGCGTAGGATACACACTGGATCTGAAGCCAGCAGAATTTCTTATTCTTAATATTGCTGCCCATGGTTTTCCAAGCATCAGCCACTATCCACCTGTGGACCATGAAAACTTCAAGGACAGAACAAGGGCTATTCATCTCTGTATTGTTAGTGTTTAGCTCCATTCATGGCCTAAGTAGATAACTTACACTTTTTTTTGCTGAATGAATGAATGAACTGTGTTGGCAGAAAATTTAATTCATAAGATTAGTGGTGACATTCTAGACCTTCCTCCTTTCCATGCTGACATGACTAGGGTTCTTCTAGGAAGTGAATTTCAACTTTATGCTATTTCCAAAACCTTATGGATAGTGTCAAAAAACCCAAATAAGTAAACTAACAAAAGCCGCTTCCTGACTTTAATTTTATGAAGATATATTCTCCCTAAACTAATATCAAAAATTTCCCTATAGAATTCTTTATCATTCAAATTGCAATTGGAGGTTTCCCTTAACTATGAAAAGTTATCTTCATAGTTCACATTGCCTCCTATAATTACTAGCTCATGTCTGCATTTAAAAACCAGTGAATTATTACTGACATAAATAATGGCAAACATTTTTTAAAAACCTCACCCTTAAGGGAAAATTAATTAAGGTTATCCTTTTAATGGTTTTAGGCAGCTATTTAAAATCAAGACACAATTGAATACTTATTACATGATATTACTGACCTACAAAGCAAATTAAAGAGAGATGGATGGGTGGATAGGCAGATAGATAGATGATAGATAGATATAGATACACAGATATAGATAGATAAACAAAGACAAAAGTAAAGAAAAAGAGGTCTGAAAGAATATCAAACATTGACAGTGAGTATCTATAGATGATAGAACACCAAATCATTTTTAATTTTTGATTTTTGCCTTGCAGCAATATTTCAATAAGTTTTAAAATGAAAGGTAGCATTTTGGTGGCTATAGTTAACAATATTGAGCTGTATGTTTGAAATTTGCTTCAGCGTTCTCACCACAAAGCAAAAACTAAAGAGAAGAGGTGCCTTGATGAGGCAATGGATGTATTAACTTGATCTGGTAAATATTTCACAAAGTGTGTGCATATTAAATCACCACATTGCACATCTTAAAATAATATAATTTTATTTTTCAAACGTACCTCAGTAAAGCCAGAAATTTTTTTTAATGAGACAAGAAATCAAGTCGCATTTGTTTTTTTAATTTCAAACATGGGGGAAAAAAAGGGACCAGAAACTTTCACAGAAACTGAAATGGGGAGTTGCTAATGAAGAAGTATTTCAAAGAAGTAACGATGAGAATAATCAGAAAAGCCAAAGGGACTGCTTATCTTGTTTGAAGCTGAAACTGAGTAATTGACAGGTCCACTTGATGGCCAAGTGTCATATTTTATCAGTAATGACAAAAAGTAAAACTTTATCTCTCCCCAATATAAGGCACTTTTATATTGAAAATAACAACTTGCAGCTCTGCTTCTCTCTTTATCAGTCTGTGATTCCTTTCTTTTTCTGTGCAAGTAACAGTGTGATAAATAAGGTATCATATGAATGTGATTTTTTTTTAATTAAGGAGGTTCAAGTTCGGCTTGAAAGTGAAAAAAAATAGTCCCGTGTTCCCACTAGCAATAAAAGAGCACTGTTTTCTTCTAAACAGAGCTCCTGAAACCCAGCTCCAATTCTCCACAGTAGGAAAGAAGCCCTGGGAGAAAGAGAAGAGAGGAGAAGAAAGAGAAAAAGAAAGGAAACAGGCAAGGCAAGGAGGGCGGGAGGGAGGAAGAGAGGGATGAAGGAAGGAGGGAGGGAGGGAGGGAGGGAAGAAGGAAGGAAGAAAGAAGGAAGGAGAGAGGGAGGGAGGGAGGGAGGACAAGGAGGGAGGGAGGGAAGAAGGAAGGAGGGAGGGAAGGGGAAGGAAGGAGGGAAGGAGAGGAAGAAGGGGGAAGGGGGCATTCTTATTATAAGGAACATCTAACCATATATATATTTGAAAACAGAAAGAGGGTTTGTTACTTACAAAAAGCATAAATACCTAATAATGCCTATTGAAATGGGTAAAAATGAGATTTGAGGATTTTATGTTTTGTACAGTTTTCTTAAACAAATGGAAGGCAAAGTCAAGCAAATATCATGAACTGATGTTCTCACCAGGCTTTCCTTAGACAGTTGAAACAAGCATTCTGGCTAGGACTGATTTTCTTAAAGGTTTCTTGTACCCTTGTTTAGCTGAGCACCCCAGCTCTGCGGTCATTACTTGGTACACCACACTCCAGCTGGGACGCACCTCCATGACCCTCAAGGTTCAGCTGAACAAGTAACAAGGCAGCCAGCACCAAGGCACAGGGAAGGCTCTCCAGTGGCTGGAACAGCAGCTTCATCACGTGTGCACAGCGAAATTTCAGACCGCGCATGCTGCTTATCCAACAATATTGGAAAGGGATTTGGGAGGCACTAAATGCAAGAGCTTTCTGAATCTCTGAAATAAACAATATCTACTTTTTTTGTATACATATACTATCCACCTACATTGTAATAATAAAAGCAATCTGAGCCAGCTCTCTGGTCCTAGTTTTACTTCCTTTGAGAAATTGCTAATTTCACACATGAGGAAATAATTACGTCAGTTCAGCTTTTTTTTTTTTTTTTGCTTGTCTCAAATTTTTACCAAAATGAAAATACAGGGACACAGAGTCTTTACTTACTTATTTATGATGCATTTTCCTAAGAACTGAAATGCAGCAACGAAAGCTATATCTATAAATCCTGCAGATAAGAAATACATATTTGAAGGGAGCGGTATTTGAAGCGGATGTTTAGGGGAATGTTAAGGACTGACGCTGTGATTTAAGGACTGCCAAGTATTTCTTTCTGCACTCTCCATCATTCGAGGCTGTCTTTGGTTTTGAAGAGAGAGATTACAGAGTCTGGATATATTGGGCTTTCTCTCAGGTTCAGATGTCTTTTGGCTTCTGGCTTCTGACTGCTTCATGCTAAACTGATAAAATATAGATGCTGTGCAAGGAGATGAAAAGGGTGGTTCTTCTGCTTTTTGTAAGAGTTGCTGGATTCCCTTTATCTCTGTATCTCTTTGTTAGCATTCATTTTCTGGATGCATTCATTTCAGAGAGGATGGGTAGGAATAAACACCTTTAAAAAGCGAAGAGCCAGTGTGTATCTACAATTTCACAAGTGCTAATGAAAATGGTAAGCATTAAACAAACGTAAACTATTATTTGACAGCAGATATTGTACAAAGATATTACCCGGATGTTATTTAATCCTCAGCTCTCTATGACATGGTTGCTATTATTGTTCTTCTGTCTCGGGTAGCCAGCTGAAACTCCAGATGGTATTTAACTTGCCATGATCACACAGGCAACAAGTGTGAAGATTAGAACCTGGGTAGACTAACTCTGGAGCCCACACCTCTAGCATTAGCTCACAGACGAAACAATGAGGAAACAACTCAAAAGACACACACATGATCTCGCTTGTATAGTCAGCTCTTTCACACTTGCAGTGTCTCTCTCCTCTTCGCTGGGATCTCGTTTATTTATCATTCTCCTACAGACGATCACGGTGATTGTGCAGTATTTGTGTATGTTGCTACCATACACGTATTCACCCATGAATTGGTTGTTTTGATAATTTAGTTATGGTAGAAAAGGAACAGATATACCCACATTTTAGATTTAAACAGAGTCAACCCACATACCATATTTGAAATGCTAACACAGAATAGTCCTAGTCTTTCATTTAATTTAATGATGCCAGGAAAACACAGTTTTGAAAAAGGAAATATGTACATTTGTAGAACTGGATATTTTTCACCATGCAACACAAATGTTCTTGTGCTTGTCCCTCCCAATTTCTCTCCCAGGTTTAAGAAGTAGGATGCATCTCTAACTTATCTACGTAAAATAAACTAGAAAAGGTACTGAGGCTCAGAGAATGTGTTAGAGATAAAGCTAGAATTAGATCTCACATCTTAATGAAGTAACCTTATCATAATATTCTACCATTAAATTGTATGCTAATAAACCAGACTTAGGAGATCAGAACAACACATTAAATATTTAAATGTTGAATGTACTTCAGTAATCCAAGAGCAGTGAAAATTCGTAGTAGTAAGGCTCACGGAGAGCAACACTCAAGTTTTTCTGGTTAAGCATCTATTTACTTGACGTTTTTATCCAGATGGACAGGATTTTGAATAAGCAAAACCATTTCATCTTTATGATTTGAGAGAAGTGAAGTATTTTTTAAATAAGGATAAATTAGCATTTAGATAACTCCCCACCTCACCCCACTATCATCTCTCAAAAGGTTGTTTAATGTTTCACAAATTTGAAACTCTCTTTTTCTATGATATAACAAGACCCTTCAGGTTTGACCTTTTTCTACACATAACTAGAGGTTTTTAACTGGCTTTTTCCCTCAAGGAACACAGGGAAGCAATTCATGCAATTAAACTCCATTTTCTACATCTCAGTAACCTTCAGCCCCTCACAGGCCCAAAATCACCTATAGTCACTTTGGAAACTAAAGGATGTGAGAGATTTGCCCCCAGGTAAAGTTATTTTTCTCTTTCTCCAGCTCCGCCCCCTGCTGTTCCTTTAAGCTAAATTCTTCTTAAAGACAGTTTGACTTTCCAATTAGGCCATTGATTTAAATTACTTCCCACTGAATTATAAGAATATTCTATTTTCTCTTTCAGTGCTTCTGGTCTTGGAACACATTTCCTTATCAAAATCTCTAGCTTACAAAGGGAACATCAAAATTTATAAACTAATAGTGTAACTGATGCTAAAAATAGAAGGAAATGTTTACCTTCATCCAAGAAGTGCTCAGGCCCCTTGCTAACTCCTCCATCACCAATGTCTACTACGTTGTGTAAACCCTTTCTTTTCCACAATTGTATTAAAGTTTTGGTTTGAACAATTTCCATTTAATCCCCTAAATATAAATGTTCCCTTTAAAGAGGTTGTTAAATAAGAAGAGAGTCATCTAAACTTACAAAAACAGAAATATATATTATCCATCTAATTTCAAGTCCAAAACAAGGAAAACTTGTGGATCTGTGAATATCCATATAGGATGTACTAGAGTTCTTAAAAATACTACTTCTTCTCTTCTCAATTTCAATACAGTAACTGTGATATGACTGCATCGTTCACTCAAGGGAGAAGAATATGACAGATACAAAAATGGTTGTTAGTCCAGTTACTTAGTGAGATTGCAGATTTATCCAGAAGTTTGTATGGGCAAGGCACTCTGTTAAATGTCTTAGGAATCTGACTTAATTTCATCTTTCTACAGTCATTTTGTAAGAAGCACTCAAATTGCTTTAGCTGAAAAGCATGGACTCCTTACTCAGGCTATGAATTAACTAAAAACAAGAAAAGCATGGCATCTCTCCTCCATTCAGTATCTGTCTTTGCTCTAAGCCATTCATTCTCTTGGCAGTCACCTTGCAACGACCTTAGAATCAAGAAAGGACAAGAATGATCAATAACATTTTTATGACAAGGAACCAAAACACCCACCAAAGTTGGTCCTTTGGCTGGACCACCTGCCTGGATCCAGATAAGGACTCTCCCAGAACAAGGACTCAGATAATGACCAAGGAGACCTCACCTGTGACTGGGACTGTGTGACAATGCATACCTTACCTGCCCCTCAGTTCTTTTGTCTGTTTAAACCTGTAATTCATGTCTGTACCCCAAAGATGGCTAAAGATGGGCTGAGTGCTTACTCTGGTTCTTCCCATGGCATGTCGCAAGCCGTGTAATAAGCTTCCTTTCTCTACCCTCACCATACCTCTTTGTGTGGCATTTGGGGGGAAAGGGGGTGGCTGGATCTGGCATATGGAATCTCAGGAGTTTGGGCCTTGGGTCCAAAGTCCTAGTTTCAATTTAAGCTAATTTATCTTTTCATAGGCATTATACCAATAAATAAAACTGAAGCTTGAAGAGGTTGAATAATGTGCCCATGATCACATAACTAAGAAATTAATTCCAAGTTGGCTGTCTCTCTTGAGCTATAACTTCTATGTGAAGATGTTCATCCCACAAAAACTCATGGTGTTAGATCTAAACATCACATCAAGCAAACGCTACTGCATTTTTCACCAATCTCCCTGCTACCTGAGAAAATTGAAGGTAAACTAATTCTTCAAGTTGAACAAGTACACAAAGTATAGACTTTTCTTCTAGAGAAAAAAATCTGTAGACCTCTTCTCATAAAATCAATCAGTAACAAATTACTTTTGAGCACAAACAACGTACTAGCAGCTGTGCAAAGGCAGGAAATACAGTAGTATGGAGTCCCTTGAGGCATAGCCAATGCAATGACATTTTCCCACAAAAGTATAAGTGGCTACTAGTTGTATTACATTCTTAATAAATTGCAGGCATTACCTCCAAACACTTCACATATCTCAATCTCATTTCCTCCTCATAAACCCCATAGCCCTTGCCTGATATACTGAGAACACAGAGATTTAGAGTGGGTAAGTGATTTGCCCCTGTCTGTCGATGATTTAAGTGTCTGCAGCTTTACCTCTCCAGAACTCCAAAATGTCTACTTCGAGTCATTTCTTTGTCTTTTCATAGATTTCACAGAATAATTGTGACCATATGTTTGGAGAGGAAGAAATTTAGGACAAACCTATCAAAGTTCAGAAATAAGTGCTCCTCGTACAAGAGGTATTTTTATATGTAACTCCTAACTCTTTTCTGAAAACTAGCCACAGTGCCTCTCTATCCTCAAAAGTGCATTGTTCTTACTGTCTGTTGAATCCATAGCTTGTGATTCAGTTATTCCTGGGTAATTTCCTATTTCTTAGTTATCAAAATTTAACCAAATATGGCCATATTGGTTCTTAAAACAATGATCCAGTTATCATCTAGAATAGTTACCCTTGTGCATGATATTCTAGAATTTTATAGGAAATTACAGTAAGATCTGGCATCATATCAATTATGTTATTTTGTACTTTTTACTCTTTTACTTCCTCTTTTTTTGATTGTAAAATCTAGGCCCATTGATAAAAAATAAATAACTTCCTAATTTGTAAACCATCAAGAAATCTCCTAGTAGAAAAATGCTACTAATAGACCAGTCTGGGAGAAAATTGTAATCCTGGCCAATAACAGATAATGAAAACTGTAACACTGAGAGTGACAGCTACTAACACTACGAATTGTATGAATGCAATATGCCTGTCCAACACTTAAATATAATTCCATGACCACAATTGAGTTGTAATTCAATCTATCACTTAGGTAGGATAATTTCCAATTCAAAAAGGTCCACAGACTAGCAGGATTTTCATCTCAAGTTTCTCTCTCTTTGTGTGCAATCATCTTAATTTTTTACTAGCAACACAGTTTTTGCCTATTTTAAAAGATTAGCCATCATGTCTTTTAAGTCAATGAAAAACTGCCATATATTGTAGAGGCAGAAAACAGTCCAAATCTGGGTTCTTGTTTATATTTTCCAGCACAAATTTTGAACTGTAAGCAAAAAGAATGCAATTTGGGGAAGAGTACCGACATCTACAGAGTATGAAGAAACCTTGTCTCCTATCATTTTTGTGTTGTTTTCTCTTTCATGTTTTACCTGTAATACTCACTTATGCCCACAGCAGTTATGAGCTTGATTGCAAGTTCAGGAATTTCACATTGAATAAAAAATGGTTCCAGAATGTAGCGTCCAAATGCCAGGGATATCACTGCAGTAGCTCCAGGGCTAAAAAATATATACACATAAATTTCAGTTAGCCATAGAAAAAATGAATAGCATTTTCACTAAAATTCTTCTGTTGGGAAGTGTTACTACTCAGCACATGAAACATGTTGAATGTGAAACTGTAGTTTTCAGAACTCCATATTTAACTAGGTTGCCATAGACATTCCAAATGAAATATTGCCTGTAACACTGGTGGTTAGTTTTTAAATACCTTTGGTAACAAAGCTGAACACTATCAATTTGCCCCTGTTCTCTCAATATTTGACTTTTTTTTTCCCTTAAAAGTTTAGTTTGTAACAAGAAATCCTGATAGAACTAGGCTTTATGAGAAGCGGTCTTCTTTCTAGGTAAGTCAACAACTGAACTCCACAGTTAATGGCACAGAGGTAATAGAGTGGGGCACAGTGAAGAGAAGGAACACAAAACTCAACTTAAAAATTTAGTGTTCACAAGTGCTCCTTAGGCAGGGTGTGGTAGTGTGTACCTGGAATGCCAGCTACTTGGGAGGTAGAGATAGGAGGATCTTGATGTGAGGCCAGCCTGCATGAGAGTAGTGAAACCCTAGCTCAAAAACAAGCCAGGTGTGGTAGTGAATGCCTGTAATTGCAGTTCAAGGTCAGTCTGGGCAAAAGCATAAGACCCTATCTTATAAACAAACTAAAAGCAAAAGAACCACAGGTTTGGTTCTAGAAGAAGAGTGCTGACCCAGCAAGGCAAGGTCCTGAATTTAATCCCCAGGACTACCCCAAAAAAGTGCTCCTTGCTAATACATGCCTAAATACGTGACATTGCTTTATTCTTATTTTTCTAGTATAGAAGCTCAGAGACAAGTATTATTCTTAATTTCATAAAATATTTAGATGAAAAATATAACTTGAAAAAATTAAAGTTCTCTTGTAAATTTATAATAAGTAAGAAATGCACAAGAAAGAAAATGAAATCAGTTCAGGTATATAGCAACACAGGTAACAAGTCACTCCAATTCTTTGACTCTATAAGAAAATTGCATGTACCTTTTCATTTGAAATATATATGAATTCATATTATTTCCATATGCAAACAAGTCCATGGAATTACCTAATTTCACAAGCCCGACTTTCCCTTCAGCTTCTCTTCCTTCTCGTGGTTACCTAACACACATACCTGATCCCTAGGTTATCAGAAAACCAAACACCATTATGTGTTCCCAACAATGCCTGCTAATACTGACACCACCATAATTTTCTTGATTCAGTTCTTGTCCTAGAGACTGTCTTTTCTTTCCTGCAAAGGAAATCTTTCCTGCTGCTATCATTTATAGAACTTTCCCGTGGGTAGCCTAAAAGTCTGATTACATTGTTTCAGCATTTTCAAAACACACTCTGGACATGTTAAACTCCCTCCCACTGCATTCAATTCTGATCTAAGCTCCGTCCCACTTCACTTGGCTTTCGCCACTAGAAAGATCTGAATCCCTTCTGCTTGGAGCCTTTTCAATACATTGTCTATTTTTTATACTTTGGATCTTGGTTCAGTCTTGCTTGGTCCAAGAAGAGGTGCTTCTCCAACCCTCTGACTGGGTCAGATCTGCCACACAGTACACTTACTGAACCCTGGCTTCTCCTCCACAGTGCTTATCACAGTAGCAATTTTATATTCACTTATGTGATGATTCCCTGGTTGATAACTATTTCCCTCCACTTGACCCTGAATTCCATGGGAACAAGACTGCATCCATCTTCATCGTGATTTTATCCCCAGTGACTGTCATACAGTAGAAACCTAACCATTATTGAACATACTGTGAACAAGTGCATTCAGCTGAATGATCCCTGTTATGCACTAGTGAGTGATTTTTCTTTCATTTGAATTGGTTTCACAGACTATTTCTGGCAAGAGTGACTGAATCTGAAGGTATAATTTTAATGGGAAATATTTAGGTGTCATAGGTATTAGTAATAGAAGAGAAATATTTAAGAATTTAGCTATCTCTCCTAAAGTCATTTGTTATTCTATTTAAAGATCAACCCAGAAATATGAATCCAGCATGACAAAGGGATATACAAACACAATAAAAAGTTTCTAGAATTTATCTCCAGTTTATCTGCCAACACACACACACACACACACACACACACACACACACACTGTAAAGCAGTGCTTTCAAAATTAAAGCAATGTGACTATCAGCTATCTGGGAACAGGAATTGTGATTCATTCCAATTTAGATTTGTTTGTGCTTCTCATATATACTTTTATATTCACCATTCACTAGCAGTTTGTAGAGTGAATAAATTAATGAGTATCATACCTGTGCTGCTACAAATGAAATGATCGTGCACATAATAATACCAAGCAATTAGCCAAAGGTACAAGCGCATGGATGAAGATGGATTCAAGTTTGGCGATACCAGACTCCAGATTTCAACAGCCTGACAGGCCAACACTCTAAACCAGGGGTGCACTCATTTGAATGCTGAACACATTGCATTTGCAATAGTATAACTTTAAACTTTCTATCATTTATGCAAAAAAGAGCTTAAACCTAAGAGACACAGTGCTCTACAGTGTAAGGGTCATGAAAAGTGAGACACCTTGTTTTATGTACTTGAAATGTTTGCAGTTTTAACAGGGAAACAACACCAACACCTAAAATATTAAGCAAAAATACAAGATACTAATTTTAATCTCAAATGAGAGGAGACTGCATTTTTTTCAGAAGCATTAAGAGATGAAAAATACAGTAAAATAAAATAAACAGAAAATTAACTGTGAAAGATATAAGTGAAATCTTGAGGTGTGTATAAAATTCAGACAATTGAAAAGGAACAGGTAGGGGATCTTAGAAAAGTAGTAAAAAATTCTTTTTATCATTATTTAATTAGAGCAAGTTTTAAGTAATGCAGGATTTTTGTAAGTGGGAATAGACTTAACAAGGCAGTGTATAGGAGCTCTTTGTTAAAAAGGAAACTCCTAACACCATAGAGGTCATTGGCATTAATGACTTATTAGCTCTGTGTTTGCCACTTGCTGTAAATGACAGGATGAAAGCTCACCTAAACTTTCAAACATGTTTGAGAAGTTTCCAGTAACAACAAGTGTTCCTGGTTATTTCCATTCAATTCTAACCAGAAAGTGCAAGTCACATCCTATGGAAGCAGCTATCCTTAAGGGACTGGAAAGTTCATAAACAGCTTTGATGACATCATAAGTTACCCCAAAGTTTGCTATTCAGAATGACTTAGCACTATTTGGTCCCAAGCAAATCAGGAAGGGAAACACACTCTTACAGCAATATAATCAAAAGATTTTCACAACTGCAGTCTGTTGATTCACTTGATGTGAGGAAGTGAGTCATTCATTGTATGTAAAGTTCATTTTTCATAAAATATAAGATGATGACACGCTAACTTGTTTGGCAAAGAAATTTCTTAGTCACAAAGATGGAGTAAAGTTAAAAGACTTGACCTATTCCACAATGGGAGAAAGCTCCAATCTCTAGCCTACATAATTGTATCTGGTCAGTTAAAGGAACAATTTACCAAGATGGATCTTAATGCTTTATTTATATTCTTCCAAGTAAGCATCTTCCCTAGAACCATAAAGGAAAATAACCAAAGACAAAAGGAAAGCAGTAGTTTAAATTTTGGCATTGTTGGTGAACCATTGCCCAAGATAAAACAGCATTAAAATATTAACCTGGAAAGATGTTTATATCACAGATTTTATGTCCTGAACATATATGTTTACAACATGGTCACACAACAAGCATATTTCTAATTACTTAAATAATAATCAAAGTATTCAGATGAAAGACGAATGAATTGGCTTAGTTTTTCCTTAATATTTTCCATGTTCTTACCGGATTATAAGTAATTCCACCCAGACTCGTACGAACGCTAGCAATGGGCCAAAGACTTCCAGAATGTATGTGTAATGGCCACCAGATTTCTTTATGCTTGTTCCCAGTTCAGCATAGGACAAGGCTCCTGTGAAAGAGTTATAAGAAAAAGGTACAAATTTAATGCATGGCCAAGTCACTTCGTGGTAGAATCTATACAACAACGTTTTGTTACCTGGGATGCAGCTACTTCCTCAGGTCTGAACGTTATCCTATTTCAAAACAACCGTCATCATCTAGTTACTGCGACCCAGCAAGTTCCTCTTCTAACTTCCTCACATTTGAGAGCTCATTCATTCTACTTGAAAAATGCCATTTTCTTTGAAATGGTACACACAAACTTCTAAACCCAAAACATGTGATTCAGAAACTGGAGTCAGAATCCTGGGAGCAAGAAAGACAGGACAGACGCCAATAATTTGGACTGGTTTTTGAAGAACACACCTCACACCAAGATAATTATCCCAAACTGACCTGCCGATGTTAGGATCTCTCTTAACAAACGTTGTAACTGTAGTAAATCAAAGTAAATACGAGTTATCTGTTCTTCAGAGAAGAATGGACTGTATGCCTTTTAAGAGTTCATTTAATTCACAGGATATATTTTTGTTAGCAAAATGAATTCTCATCCAGTTATCCTTTTTCTAGAAAAAGTTATCTTGGATGTTTTGGAAGTGTGTACCCTGGTTGGGTAAAAGAGCATACTTTTTAAAAAGACACACTATAATGCACATTATCATACACTAAGAAAAATTAACCAGGAGCTAAACTTTAACATTTAGCAATATAGTCCAAATGGTATTGGGAAAGTTATGTAACCTTCTAAAACCTCAGTTTCCTCCCCTATAAAATGAAAATACAAATTTTTACCTCATAAGGGAGTTATGTGTATAAATGTGACAATGGTGAGTACCAAAGACAAGACTGGGCCTGACGCCTGGCAAGCACTATGTGAAATATATCTATACTCATAATTTGAGCAACTAATTATCAAGACAATGAAAAATAGATCTTAGCATCATGTGAAACGCTGTATCCACACTGTTAAGTGCTCAAATGTAACACACGGATTTTTACCCAAGCTACTACAGAGACTCTAGTTATGGAAGTCATTACTAATCAGTGATCCTTTATATAGAACTGCTAAAAATAAATATAATTTGGCTATTTAGTGAATCTAAGTTTTCCTCCCCCCGATTCCTGAGCCTAGCCTTACATCAGAGTCAACTGGGAATTTTTTTTTTTAATTCAAAATCAATCAAATGAAAAGATAAACTCTAAACCTGTATCTTAGTTCCACTCTGCAAGAAAGGGAGTCCAGACTCCAGGTATCTCTACACTTTTTTAATTCTGGAGTAACTAGTTTGCAGATGGATATTTGGGGACCTCTGATCTATTTCACATATTTAGAACTAATCACAACTAACTGTGATTCATGTTCTGTTGGGAAATAGTCGCCATGTTGGTAGGTTGTCCAGAAAAACATCCAATATAAAATGTTACTGGAAAGTCTTAAGCACCTTGGAAATTATTGTCAGAGAATCAATACCTACATCTCTGTATTCATTGCTGAGACTCCAGAATGATTGCCCTGGGTTTAAATTGAGTTCTGGGAGAATGAGATTTTCATTTAAAGGTCTCAAGCTCCATTTTGCCCAGATGAAAGAAGTTCAAAACAGGATATACATGTCCAAGTATTTGCCCTGGCTTTTAAAAAAGTGGTAAATCAAACACAGATGCTTCTCCAGTTACAGAAGGTTTATACTGTTGAAATATTATTAAGTAGAAAATGCATTTAATATACCCATCCTACCTTAAACGTGCTCAGACACACATTGAATATGGCTGGGCAAAATCATTTAACACAAAGCTTATTTTATAATAAAGTGTTGGATATCTCATGTAATCTATTGATTAGCAAATTATTATTATTCACATTGTAAGGTCAAAAAACACAAGTTGAGCCATTGTAAATTGATTATATATCCAGAGTCTTGACTCAGTCCCAGAGTTTCAAGAAAAATAATTTTTTTCTCATATATTTTACTTTGCTTCCTATTAGGGAGCCAATTCTGTCCAAAAAACAAAACAAAACAAAAAGCCACTAGTAATTTAAGTGACAAATATAACGCAAATACAGGTAAGTTGGTTAACTGAAGAACATACGCCCTGCAGTTAGTAATCAAAAATATCAACTCCAGTATAATCTTAGCTACACTCCCTTAACTGTTTGCTTTCTATCTTCTTTTGAGCTTCTGTGTAAGATGATCTGCTTATGAATAAGCATTTTTCATCAGCACCACTTCAACTAGTTCAATATCCAAAGTCATTTATTTTATTACATCTGAAATATCTTCATTGTGTGTGAAAATTGAATCACCTGGGGGAACTGCATGTACATAAGTATGCAAAGTCCAGGAAACTGGACTTTGCAGTTTTTCTGATTAGATATTGATTTATTCTAAACATATCAAATACTCTAGGAAGATTAAAAGCTAAGGGCACACAAAGTCACCTATGAGCAGCAATGAAGTTTCTTTTGTCTACCTAGACATGCATATACCAGAACCACTATAGTATCAATAATAGCTAAAGTTCTATCAGAAGTTTTCAAGACCATGTTACTCCAAAGTGTTCTGCAAGATAGAGAGTAACACTGAGAAAATAATGTCACAGGATTATCACGAAATAGTTTATCAAGCACTAGTTGTTCACAGAAGCCAGACCACAAGCACTTTCTAAATACTAAAAAGAATTCTTCTATAGCTCTTGCATACTAAGACTTTGATTTAACAAGTTTTATTTAAAACATCTTCTTCCTAAAAATGGAAATGTGAGTTCTCTAAGTAACTTCCCCAACAAATAGAGTAAAAATCACAGAATGGAGTTGAAAGAATGAATGGATGGCGACAGGTAGGAACAAGAGTTAGTACTTTGTCTTAGAGTTAGGACAAAGTGTTAGTAACTTTAAAGTATGGTATCTTTTGGACTCAAAGTACAGTATGTTCCAGAGAAGAGCAGGCATTTATCCCATAGCATAAATCAAATTTAAAAAAATGCTTTTGAATGACTCACTAGTTTTTGTTACCTCTACAATTAACTCAACTAGCTATGTAGTAATTTTCCCAGCTGATGGGGAGCATTTATTTACTCTTTAATTCTCAAATCAATAGAAGAAACATAATTCTTGAAGAGAAAAATTAATCATCATCACCCTTTTTCTACCAGCTCTCTTCAGATTAATTCAGTGAACAGGTGGACAAATTATCTGTTTCCCTGGAGACCGAGTGAAATACAAATGAAGAAAACAGTTCTGGGCAAGTACAGAAAACTAACACCCAAGTGACGTTTTCAAATTCATATTGCAAAACTTCATAGGTGTTGTGAAAAAAAATGAAATCAGCTCAAGCCATTACAACAGTCCATTATAACAAGGATTGAGTTATGCCCATCACAGATCTGTCTGCGTCAAGAACTTCTGAAAAGGAATATTAAGAACTGACAAGCACAAAAACTTAAAGAATGCAGAAAGAAAAAGACTGCCACTCATTCGTTTTGCTAATTAAACACCACTGCCAGAAAGACTTCTGCTGAATATTCAGTCCTGTGTCTAAATAGGCCACGCCAGGCTTCATCTCACAGGTGTTTCATTCAGCGTGCCAGCTGCCAAAGTGCCCCAAACTCAAGTAACTGAACACAGGCCCTGGGTCAGAAAGTTGGCATGTGTTTTGTGGGTCATCAAAGTTAGTCTCTGCTCTCATCACCACAGGGAAAAGTCAGAAGACAGTTTCTCTTAGTCAGGAAAAGAGAATATAGCCTGCAGGAAGGAGTTTCAGAGAAGTGAGGATCATACCAACAGTGGACACTGTGTTTGTGTAGATCACATAGCTAAACAAAAATCAAAACATTTCCTGTAGTCTCTGCCATTCCTTTACTCCTCAAAAATAATCCTTTGCTCTCTCAGAGAGCAAACTCTGCAGCCCCACACCACACACCCTCTCCCCCGCCCCCAGAGAAGTTGCACTCACCAAATAGTGACAGGACCCCACAGACGGTCCAGACAGTCAGGGACATGCCCACGCTGCCAGTGTTCTGCAGCACACCTTTAGGAGAGATGAAGATGCCTGCTCCGATGATGGTACCAATGATGATGGAGACCCCCCTCAGCAGAGTGATCTTCTTCTTCAGTACCACCTTCTCCTGCCCAGGTGGCTCCTTGCCGCCCATGGAAGGCAGCCTCCTGCTCACATTTCCCTGGAGGTAACTTCCCTTGGAGATGGTGGCCACGACAGGCTTCCTGACCATGGTAGTAAGTGACACACCAGGGGGGAAAACAAAACAGGAAAAAAAAAGAAAAAAAAAAAACTTTTAACTTTAGTGTCTCTTGGTGTGACTGATCGGTCTGTCTTCCTGTTTGCTTTCAGTGTCTCTAACGCTACTGTGTTGACAGGTAAAAACTCAGAGGTGTATGGCAGCCTTCGCTGCTATCTGATTCCTCCTCAGAAACACCTGTGCTCACGGTGCTCCGACCCCTCCTCTCCTTGCACACTGCCTCTGGTGCTGCTGCGGCTGCAGCTGCGCTGTCCTTACAGACCAGCGCAGCTTCCTCGTGGGCTTGTATTTAAGCTCCCGCCTGTCACACCAACTTACTCCAACTACATGATGATGAAACTCTCCAGGTTTGCATCAGCCACATGAGAAGGCTCCAGCATTACTCAGCTTTTTTTTTTTTTTTAAACAGTAGCGCATGTTGCTTACTGACCTCAGCTTTTCCGAGAACAAAGCATACACTTAAAAAGGGACCTTAACCAATCCAAAAGAAGTAAATCCACAACAGACTTCCCAGAGGCTCCAAGCAACTCTGAGCGAAGGACAAAAGCCCTCCAAGCAAAAAGAAAATGAAAAATGAAACAGGAAATGATCACTGCATTTTAAGAAGTTTCTTTTTCTTTAACTCACGTACAAAAATGTTTTCCATATAACTGTTTTGACAGTAGAAAGTAACTCAAAAGGCACTGTTTATAACAACAAATTTAGATTTTATAATTTGTATACTTACTTTTATATTTTTTTGTGTTTCCTAGCAACACAAAATGTAATACAAAGCTAGAGTCTACACTGTAGCGCTGTTGTTACACTCATAACAACTGTAATGTGTGTTTTACTCAACATTAAAAGATAAAGTTATTTCTTATGACCTGTAATAAACCAGTATTTAAAATCATCTGAGTGTGACAAATTTAAAAATCACAATGACTCTAGAAAACAGTCATTTTCTGATTTTCATCAGCACTAGGTGATCTCTTAAAGTAGAAAATGCATATTCTTTTACATATTGTTTCATGGAATCACCAAAAAAATCCTATTTTCAAAATTAAACAATAATTATGAAGTCAGGGTTTTGGACCCAAAGCCCAAACTTCTGAGATTCCATATGCCAGCTCTGCCCCCCCACCCCTAAACGCCAAATAAAGAGGTATAGCTCAGGAAGTGCCATGGGAAGAACCAGAGGTAGCACTTTGAGGAACAGACATGAGTTATAAGTTTAAATAGACAAAAGGACTGGGGACAGAGGATGAAGATACACATAGTTAAACAGTCGCAGTCACAGGTGTGTTCTGGTTGACCATTATCTCAGTCCAAGGGTTCCAGGAGAGGTTCCAAAGTTGTTATCTGGATTTATTGTCAACTGTCAGGTGGTCCATTCTGAGGAAGGTCTACTGTTAGGGATAGATTTTATCCCTTGTCATGAAGATGTTATCTGTCTTTCCTGGAATCTAAGGTGGTTGCAAGGTGACTGCAGAGAGAATGGCTTAGAGCAAAGACAGACACAAAATGGAGGAGAGATACCACGCTTTTTCCTGCTATTAGTTAATTTGTGGCCTGAGTAAGAAGTCCATGATTTGCAGCTAAAGCACTTTAAGCACCTCTTACAATTTATAATCACATAAAGCATGCATAGAGCAAGAGCCTGAAAAGAAATACACAGAATAATAGTTACAGAGTGTAAAGATATTGTATCTGACTTTTCTTCTGGATCTACGAGCTGTTCTTAGGATAATAAATTCAAAATGCATTCAAAGCACTGGGTGCTAAGTTATGTGTAAGTATGAGTGAGGAGTTCTGATGTATCAGTGCACAGCAGCCACACCAGATAACAAACGTGTACTGTACATTTTCAAAGCTAGAGGAAAGTTTTCTGCTTAAAGAAATGATCAGTGTTCAAGGAGACAAGTATGTTTAACTGATTTAAACATCTTACAATGTGCAATGAATTGAACTACTACAGCACCTCATTAGTATGCACAATTTTTACATATGTATCAATAAAATAAATTTTTAAAAGATCATAAAATAAAACAAAATGTACTCAAAGTATAAGCTAGGAATAACATGTTTACATTGAAAGCGTAGCAAAAGCAAACACTTTTAAACTTCCCAACCAAGTGTCCATAAAAACCAAATACTAAAAGACAAGAAATCCCAGGTATCTTTTTGGCTATGGTTTTGAATGTAATGAGAAGAATTGGATGTTATTATCATAAAACTACATTTACACACATCATTAAATATAGTTCTGGACCTCTGAGCAAAAACAAACAAAAAAGCTGTGTGTAGAGGAAGACTAGGCGGGAGTGGGAGTGGGTGGAGGACGGCAGAAGAAGGAAACAGCCATTGAAAGAGTGTCCGAGTATTTTCTGTTAGGTAAACACATGAGAACATGACACCACATCAGTGCTTTACCATGCAAACAATTGATGCTATATAATTTCCGTTTTACATCATCTGCCTGAATTCTGCATGATTTGCTTTGGATATACAAAGTTAGGGTATTTTAAAACCAAAACTGATATTTTTTTTCTCCTAGCTAGTATATATCCTAAGAAATTAAAAGTGGGGTGTTCCCCTCATTCAATCTTGCTGAGAGTATTTAAAAAAAAAGCTGAAGATGGGCTCCCCCGCATTCTCCTCCTGCCCCTTGGTGTTCTTCTACTCACACAGTTCTCCTGATTAATGTGCATTAGAGGGAGAAAAGAGGTTTTTGTTTCCCAAAAAGGGAGCACATTAGCTCTGAGGAAGTAGTTAAAAGTGGACTCCTGGGAAACAGCTTTCTGTCTCTAAGAAGCACAGTGCCACGCTTCAGTGTTAAATTTTGTTCAAATGACTAGACTAATGAGTTAAGACCGAGACCCTACATGAAGTTAGATAAATTTTAAAGAAGGGAAAAAATGTCCTTCCAATATTAAATACCATTCTCCTCCTTTGTAGTCTTAAAAGCTGTAAAGAAGAAATGCTAAAATTAGACTGATTGAATATAAGAAAATCACACTCAAAATTGTCCCAAACTTTACCTAGCTACCAAAGATACCAATAGACCTCTCCCAGAAACTTGCCAAAAAAAATGTGGTTGCAGAAAACATGCTGAATTCACTTTCATGTAGTCACCAGTCCCAAACTTGGAAACTAAGAATTTTGATGGTTTTAAACTATGTGTGTGTCACAAAAATGAATTCAAAGCAAACGAATTTATGTTCTCAAACGAATATATATTTCTCCTGATCTTGGCTTTATTTTAAGCATTCCTGTCAAATTAAGGGGTTATTTATTAACATTTATTTAGTGCTTGCTGTGTACAAGGAATTGTACCACTTCTCTAAAAGAACCTCCTGGATGAAATAGACGTGTTATTCTGTGGAAGCTACCATTTTGTGCTGCTATGGGCACACTATTCTAGCCTGGCAAAAACAGTCATCTCTGGTGACTGTGTCGGAATGTGCCTATAGCAGGTAGATTTCTAAATGCAACTAGAAATGTCTTTTCTCTTTGGTTAGAAGTTGTAAAGATGTGACCCCAGAGTAACTACTAGCCATGTCCTCAACTATGTTGTCAAAATGCTCACAGAATAAAAAATATGCAAAGATGAGAGCTATTTAAAAAGCTAGTGTTGTGAAGCCCTGATTTAGTTCCTAAGAATCAAATTGGCTCTGGATCCTGAAAACCTTCCTTTGATTGTATAAACTATCAATTCTCTTGCTAAATAAACCACCTCACCCCCCCCCCCCCCTGCCCCCCCACAAGAAATCAGTTATTCATGGATGGTGGAGGTGAGCCCAGTGGCTCACAATTAAAGCTTCTGGAAGGACATGGCTCCACATGAAAGTCATTAGCCACAGGTGGTTAGCAGCCTTGAAATATGAAATGCTATGAAATGACTTCCTTGAGAAAGGGATTATTAAATTCATGAAAATTCGGTAGATCTTACCTGTAAACCAGATGGGACTAGTTTTGATTTGTCCTGTTTGCTTCAAGGGTATCCTAGGTATCCCTTTGTTGGAGAAGTTATTTCAGAGAATGAAAACATATAAAAACTCTTCCACTCCTTTTTATGATTCTAGTGCAGAAGTTAGCAGACGTTTCCTGAAAAATGCCAAGCGGTAAATATTTTAGGCTTTATGGACACACCTGGTCTCTGTTCGGTACTCTTCATGTTTATGTGTGTGTATCTATGTGTGTAGGTGCATTGCAATCTTTTACAAAGGTAAAACTCATTCTGGGCTCCTGTGTAGTTTACAACCCTCTGTCTAGTGACATCTTGATTGCAATTAGGATACAATACAAAGTCATTGCAATGGCTTGTGGTAAGGATTTTTGCAAATAATGTTCAATTAGAACACAGCCATGTCCGTTCATTTATTTGTTGTCTGTGGTGAGCTCCCATCACAACAGAAGAACTGAGTAGTTGCAAAGGAGATTGAAAGGACCAAAGAGTGGAAAATGTTTGCTATTTGCCTCTTCCCACCAAGTTCGCTGCCCCTGGTTTAAGAGAAGATGTAGGAAGTGAGAGCTCATTCCCACTTTGATCTTCTGTCTCATTAGCAACTGTCCTTGTATGTTGCTACTCCTGCAAGGGC